TCAGTGTATTAACTCTGACAGATTCCTGGGACATACATGGAATGTTCATAATGTAACTCATGTATGTCCCAGGAATATGCATGTACATTACATGAATGTTCCAGGTATATTCTGGGAATATCATTTTGCTATGTGGGTACTTTTACTCACGTTTGCACACCGGAGGAAACTCGTTGTAAAATCCGGTCTCCAGGCAGGTTCTCATGGTGGGGCCCACCAGCAGGTGGCCCTCATCGCACGTGTACTCCACCAGAGAACCCACGTTGAAGTTGGGCGCCAACATGGTGGAGTTGGGCGGCTGCTCTGGGCGGCCGCAGGCCTTTGGCTCTATAATCGGATGCAGTTGAAGCTGAGCTTGGACGGGAGCAAAGAGTGAGAACTTACGATGCTGGCAGATGTAATTGAGGCGCATCGTGCAATCAGTGTCCGACCAGAGCCACCCTTTGGTGCCGTCATAGCGGGCGCAATTTCCAGTTCCAACGGGCAAATTCCAGAAGGACACCGTCACGTCGTCTCCCGTCAACCACTGCCAACCACCTGGAGGGGACAAAATAAATGAGTGTTTTTTCGCCCGAGCGGTGAAAGTGGTTTACCAATTTTCGGGTCCCTGACGGCCCCCATCCAGTACTGGCCCTGGGAGTCGCTGCGGTGCCGCCTCCACAGCTCCCAGCTGATAAATCCTGCGAAAAAACACCAGAAACTCTTAGCAACTGCACGCTTCCTGAAGGTTCACCAGCGCACCTTGCAGGGCCGGATTGCTTTCGTCCACCAGGGTTCCGCCTCGGCTGCGGCAAAACTGCAGCGCCTCCCTAAACACCAGCGGGTTCCGGTTGTAAAACACGTAACACTTGCCGTTGTACGTGGCGGTGCTGCCGGGCGGCTGGTCTCTAAACTGTGGGCACCTGGAATTCGCCAACGTTAAGGCCTGCTTACGGTTTGAGGCTGTAGCAGAGGCTGTAGTACCTTTCAATGGGCAGCGCCTGGTCAGTGTAGACGAAGGCCTCGCAAATGGACAACTGATTGGCTTCCGGCACTTCCAGGTGGACGCTGACAAAGGCGCCGGGCATGGGCGGGTTGCAGGGCAGGAACAGCGGCTGTCCCTCCTCCAGGAACCCGGTGAATCGGTTGCAGATCGGGTTCGTGCCCAGATCGGGGCGATTGTTGCCCACCCGCACCACTATGGTAGCCGGTTGATTGGCCCCTGCGTTCGCATTAATGCATTCAGTCGGTGCACACGAACACTTTTCACTTTTTGCTTACAAACCGTGCGAAAAATGCGCATTTGTGAGTGCGAGTTTAAAGCACGCTTTCACCATACACACGGTGGTTCATTGAGA